TCCACTCCAGGCTTTACAGTGCTGTCAGTCACACTCCCAGTGCACAGCAGTCTGATCCACTCCAGGCTTTATCAGCTACACAGTTCTGGTACAGAAGCAACACCAGCTGCTGGAGATATCAAGCTCTGAAACTTCTGTAACTCCATCATTGATATTCACAGAAGTCCTGCAGCTGCTGAAACTGGAGTGGATCAGGCTGCTGTACACCGGGGGCCTAATCACTTTCTTCATAACTAAAAACAAGCCCCAGCAGCCTCCTCCGACCTCTCTCATTGCCCCTCCCTTCCTGCTTCTAAGATATTTCAGGTTATTTCCCCGCGATTAAAATAGAACACAGAATAAGTCTTATTTCTCAATTCAACCACCACATTACGCCTCTTATCCAACCACACATAATTCAGAAAATGACTTCACGGGCCTGCGCCGCACGTTCCTTCAGAAACACTGGTCCTCTGCTTTCACCCCTCCCCCCCTCCTCTCCTCTCGTCCTCCTCTCTCCTCTCTTCTCCTCCGTTTCCTCTCACCCCTCTCTCCTCCTTGAGCCCAGGAGTGGAAGTGTGCCGATTATTCACTTCCCTCCCCCTTCCTTCCCCACACTCCCTCCCTCCCTCTCCCTCGATCCCAGATCCCCGCTCCCAGCCCGCGGTCCGTGTTGAAGAGAGAGCCGTGTGAAACCCCCCCGGCCGCGAGACACCGCGGGAACCAAACGCAGCTCCGCTGGGGACTTCAGAGCGGGGAAACGCAGACGGAAAACCTAGGCGATCCCTAGGAATCGGCCATCCCTGGACAAGCCCAGACATCCTGGCAGCTGACTTCACCACATCCCAGAGGGAGAGAGAGAGGAGCTTCCTGCCCTGTCTAGTCAACCCACTGATCGGAATCTTAACGAGTTCGCGGGGGGCAGGGAAATCGCCAGCCTCGCGCACGAACTCAGGAGCATCTGCCCTCTGCCATCAACTCACCCTGCCCCGGAAGCAGAAGGCCAAATTAAATCAGCCGAGCCACACTTGGCGTCTCTGTCCATCTCCCGCGTCCACAGAGGGGGACGGCGGCCCCTGCCCAGGCTCCCTAGCCAGGCTGACGGATGAGAGAGGGACTGGACCGGACTCGGACCCCCCCGGCGTGAACATGGTATCGGCCTGCGGCCATGCCAGCGGATACTCTGGCAACAGCAGCCAAAACAGGGCAAGAGAGATGACAGAGGGAGGCCTGGTGCTCCCCAGTGCTCCAGCAGCACCAGTGTGGTCCTGTAGAGAGGCTCCACAGAGGCAGGTCTGGGGGTCCGCAGCCACCCCTTGTCACACACCCGCGTAGCTCCAGAACCACAGACCCCCCTCGTCAGGCACCAGCACAGCCATGGAGGACGACCCTCCTACAATAGAGCTAGCCCCTTCCTCTGTCCCAGTGCGGGTTCGCTGCAGGCACAGCAGAACAAAGCATGAACTTGGCAATGAGCGCCTATAAACCTGCTCACCGACAGCATATCACCTGCATCTGACCCTTCAAAACCAGACCATATTCAAAAAATCAAAAAAATCAAAACATCTGTGGTC